GATGAAGGAGAGAGGAAGGAAGAGGGAGGAGGGAGGAAGGAAGATGAGGGATGAAGGAAGGAAGATGAAGGAGAGAGGAAGGAAGAGGGAGGAGGGAGGAAGGAAGATGAGGGATGAAGGAAGGAAGATGAAGGAGAGAGGAAGGAAGATGAAGGAGGGAGGAAGGAAGATGAGGGATGAAGGAAGGAAGATGGAGGGAGGGAGGAAGAGGGAGGGAGGAAGATGGAGGAGAGAGGGAGGAAGAGGGAGGGAGGGAGGAAGTGAGTGAACGAATGAATGATGGAGGTGGCCCATGGTGGGTGGCTGAAAAGACGTCCACCCCCATGTCTCCCATCCTTTTAGTTTTTAATCTTTATTTAATTTCTCTTAATTTTAATGGTTTTTAGACTTGATTTCATCTTCTTTAATTTAAATGGCTTTGTATTATCTTTTTATTGCTTTGTAAGCTGGCCAGAGTCACTTCAATAGTGAGGTGGGCGCTTATATACATTTAAGAAATAAATGCATCAGGAGGAACAGTGCTGAAGCACCCGTTTCCCTCCATCATTTTCTGCTCTTCAGATGGTCCTATTATATCTGGAATCTGCCCTCCCAATCCCACCCACCCTTCTTCTCTCTTGCATCACGATAGGATGATGGATTTTGGCTTGGTTTACTTTTATTGGCCTCTACCAGATAGGGAAGTCTCTTCTTTCTCCGACTTGGTCTGAGTTGATTGGGTGTCTTTTTCTCCTCCCAGCTCAACGATACCGTCGTGGAAGACGTGAAGCTGATGGTCAGCATCGCTCGCAAGCAGCCCATGCTGGATGTGGCCGTCGGCAAATCCGTGTGGGGAACTTTGGGTGAGGAGATGGACATAGACGGAAGCATGGGAGGGATTAGAAATAGGGTGCAAATTGGCCTCTTGAGGGCAGATGAGGATGACCAACAAGTTCCCCAGGCCATTTTTACCTTTAGGTTAAAAGCAGCCCAAATAAGTTTAGCTAAAATATAAAATTAATAATACTTTGAAGTAAATTATATATTGTCTGTAGANGCTGTGATGACGTCACAGCGCGCTTTTGTCGAGCGCGCTTTTGTCCTACGCGCTTTTGTGGTGGAACCCTTTTTTTCAAGAGGCACCTGGACTTTCTGGTTTTTCTTTGAAGACATTTCACTTCTCATCCAAGAAGCTTCTTCAGCTCTGACTGGATGGTGGGTAATAGAAGGTTTTATACTCTTTGCAGACAGCTAGTTATTTGCATTCTTTTAGTGGGTCTCTAAGGTCACCTGGAGGTTTATCTGTATCCTGAGAGTCACCTGAGTGGTGCAAATGTGTGTGGAGCCTTCTTGGAACTGTTGAAAAGGCTATGTTGTAGACTGGAGATAGATGATGTCGTATCCCTCTGTTGAGAGGGGGCTGTTGAATTTTGACATAGATGGCGTCTTTGACCCCTCTTTCAAACCAGCGGTTCTCTCTGTCCAAATGCAGACTTTGCTATCTTCAAAAGAGTGGCCTGTGTCTTTTAAATGCAACGGGAGGGATATGACATCATCTATATCCTATCTACAACACAGTCCTTTCAACAGTTCCAAGAAGGCTCCACACCCATTTGCACCACTCAGGTGACCCTGAGGACAGAGATAAACCTCCAAGTAGGTTTATCCAACTTATCGCTAAAAAAAATGCAAATGACCAGCTGACTGCAAGGAGTATAAATCCTTCCATTCCCCACCATCCAGTCAGAACTGAAGATGAGAAGCGAAACATCTTCAAGGAGAAAACCAAGAAAGCTCAGTTGCCTCTTGAAAATAAAGCCCCTTTGGGACAACCATGATCTGGATGACTAAGAATCCCCATAGAGATCTAGTGGGTCCGGGTTGCTTTCAAGCTTGCTTTTTAATGCCTGTTTGCCTTTAGGAGACCAAGAAGGGATCTGCCCCAACTTACCAGCCCTTTCAGCGCAGCGTCTCAGCAGATGACGATTCCAGAGAGGTAACTGAGATACAATTCCCTGTCAGTTTGGGAAATTGGTTAGGTCGGTGTGTGCATGGTTCTCCTTCAGTGGTTCAAAATATATGTTCAATGGTTCAGAATATTGGTTCAGTCACTTATATCCTGGTTTCTGCTATGTGCAGTGGTGGGATTCAATTTTTTTTACTATTGGTTCTGTGAGCATGGCTTGGTGGGTGCGGCAGGGGAAGGAGGCCAATGTTATTCAGATTTTTTAAAATTAGATTTACATTCCGCTTTATTTAAAACAATCTCAAGGCAGTGCTTCTACGGGCATTGCTCGCTTACCAACCATGATTGGGATCGTCAAATAACATGACTGCACCAGACCTAGAATGTAATTTCATACTTAATAAACCATTTTTTTTAATTTTTCATTTTAGGCCCGGCGCCCCCAAAGGAAGTATCTATATGAGAGGTTGGTTCCATTCATACCATTATTTTATTTATCTTTATTCTTTTATTTATCAATTACATTTATATGTCACCCATCTCTCCGATAAGGTGACTCTTATAGTGCTATCAGGATAATTCCTCCCGTTGATGCCAGTTTTGGTGAACAGAATCTGTTCAGTCACTGGAGAAATCCAGCTGATAAAAGTTGCATTAACTGACATATTTTTGTGTTGAGGCACAATCGTTGCTGTTTAGTGCAACTTTCTCATTTTGGTGGTTTCCGTTGGAACTAAACAGGTCGACGGGTTCCTTGGTGTGAAAAAATTGTGCCCCTAGAATTAAGGGAGCCTAAGAACTGATTCTGAAAAGAAGGATTTGTTATTTTTCCACACAACGATGCATACTTCTAACACTAATTTTGGAAGTGGAGAATTCTTTTATTGTCACTCTTTGTTTATAACTGAAGATTCAGATGTCATACAGACCATTCAGGGCTCAACAGATCTGGATATTTGCTGGGCTTTAGTTCAGAAGTGCAAAGTGCCCGTCAGGTTTCCAAGTAACACCCACAACGAAAGAAGATTCCTAGGCTTGTGTTTCCTCCAAGTTCCATTTTATTAGAGATGTCATATTGGCACATCTGGGGAAACCCGAATCTGAAAGCTCCCAGGTTTTTCCCACCCCGAAGATAGTTCAAGTCCCTGCCCAGCAACCACATGTCCATCACATGGCCCAATCAGGCACCGTCCAAAACTGGAGATGCCTCCCAGATGGAGGTCAAATGCAAAGTGTGAGAACGACATTGCTAAAAGTAGTCATTTGCGAAGCATTTGGCGGAATGATAACGTAGACATGAAAAACTGGAAACTCTTTTTAAAAGTTTGCCTGCCAGCGAATGGGAGGAAAGAAAAGGCATGTGAAACAATACTCGTAGGCTGAAAGCAAAACATGAAGGCAAATCTGTCAGTCTCCATTGTTCTTTGCCTACCAGGCCAAGTGTTATGTTTCATGCCAGTTGTTGTGGCCCGCCAGCGACGAGCAGAGCAGGTGGCATGGATTCAGACAGTGAGGAGGTTGGGGAGGAACATCGGCCAGTCCTGGACTCTGGGGAAGGCTCTGATGAGGGCTCTGCAGTCGGAGGCAGAGATGGGGTCAGGTTGTCTGGCGGTTATCAGCTGCCTTCTGAGTTGGATATCAGTGAGGCAGAAGAACAGCTGGAGCCTGTTCCCAATGTGTGCATGCGCAGAGTTGCCAGATGAAGGGGAGCAGCTAAGGAACAAGGATGGACTTGAGAGTAAGGCCACAGGTGAAGGGTGAATGGCCCCTCCCATAGGGAATAAAAGAGGAGCGAAGGGGAGTGGAGTTTGCTGGAGACAATTAGTTCATTCCTGCATTCTTGCCAAGCATGGCGGCGTCTGAAAGATATCGGCCTGGCCACTCTCCAAGCCTGATAAAGGTCTATAATTGTGAACTACCTTGAAAGACTATGGGAGAGGACTGTGGGATAGGAATTCATTGTCGATTAAATGAAAGGGGTTTATAAGGACGAGGACTTGGCTTCGTGCTGCTGGGGAAGCCTAGGTCAGAACCAAATGTCCCCTTGTAACTAACTACTTTTCCATAATCCACCGCTTCTGGTGAATTTAATTCTCTTCTTTCCATGCTCTCTCCTAGCTTTGTGAGCTCCAGCGATAGCCTCCGAGATCCAGAGAAAGAGCCAGAAGAAGGCAGAGATCCAGACAAAGAACCTGATCAGAGTGAAAGTCTGCATGGCTATGAGAAGGACAATGACCGAGATCGTAGCCGGGACAGAAGTAGGGACCGGGACAGAGATCGAGACAGAGACCGGGACAGAGACAGAGACCGAGATAGAGACCGGGACCGAGATCGAGGGCGTGAGCGAGAACGGGACAGAGAAGGCAACCGCCGTAAGAAATACTTCGTTCTTGTGGAGGGCAGTGTTAATGGGCTGACTTGCTTCAAAGCAATTTCCTTTTATTGCTTCTCCGCTGTAGACAGAAATCTTGCCAGACTAAAGCAAACTACTTGCACCAATAAAGATACACAGCTAGTCCTCGACGTACGACGACAATTGACCTCAAAATTTCTGTTGCTAAGTGAGACAGCTGTTAAGCGAGTTTCGCCCCATTTTACAACCTTTCTTTTGCCCCAGTTGTTCAGTGAATCACTGTANGCAACTGGACTTTTTCCTCTTTGAAGATCCACTAAAAAGATGCAAATGACCAGCTGTCTGCAAGGAATATAAATCCTTCCATTCCCCACTATCCTATCAGAGCTGAAGAAGCTTCTTGGATGTGAGAAGTGTAACGTCTTCAAAAGAAAAAAACACCAGAAAGTCCTGTTGCCCCCTGAAAAAAAAAGCACCTTTGGGAACAACCATGACCTGGAGGACCGAGAATCTTTACAGACTTTGAGGCCAAATAATCTTCTGCTTATGCATCTGAAATGCCATTTTACACCGTGCTTGCTTTTGCTTACAAACCTTAAAAATGGGAACAGACTAAATAGAGATGCCTCTCTAGCATCACTAGGATTTGGCATCAGAGGTTCCCAAGATCAAGTCCCTCCCAAAATATTTCTGCATCTCAAATTGGGGTAAAGGGGGGTGGGTGGGTTATGCTACAAGCTTTGCATGGTTTCTCTTTTGGGGAGGAGGAGCCAGAAGTGGGATAAGCCAAAAGCTGTATATCTTTCGCTAGGAGATCGCTGATGTGTTCATCGTTTCCTTTTTTCAGCTGTGATAAACACCATCAATGGTTCTCATCAAGACAAGAGATCCCAGGTTATCTACAAAGAGGACAACTTCTGAAGCGTAGCAACACCCGTCCCCCCCCCCCCATCCTCCCTCTGCCTTTTCACTTAAAAGATTCAAATAAATCTTGGCTTTTAAAAAAACGTTTTGAACTGTGCTAACTCCAGTTTTAGGAGTGAGGCTTTGGAAAGTACTGTGTCCTTTTCAGTGTCTTTAATAGAAGCTTCCCCCAACTTGGAGGGCAGGCTGGTTCTGTAAATATAGGTGTGTGTGTGTCTGTCTGAAAGAAAATATAGATGAAATATTAATCACTCAAGATTCTCCTAAATGTGGTTTAGCTACAGAAAAGAAAGTCATTGTTTTTAGCAGATGATTTGCAGCAGAAAGAAAGGAAGGTGGAGGCAACAATAACAAAAAGCGATTTATTAGCTTCAAAATTAGCCACGCATCAAGCAAAGTTAATAATGGGGATAATCTGATCATCTACATAGAAAAAGACCAGCTTGTTTCAAATCCTATGATTTAAGTATATATGTCACAAGAAGGGATGCGGTGGCTCAACCGTGATGGATTCCGTTATGGTCGTGACTTGGCCACATGACCCACATAATCAGCGTTGGAGGCTTAGCATCTCATCAGAACATGGAATGCATTAACTGTGGCTTTACAGAAGTCAAAAATAATATGCAAATCTTGATCGTGTAAATGCAAGATGGGGCATAATGGCCCTGTGGTTAAAGACACTGAGCCTGTCAGATGGAAAGTTGATAGCCTGGGTTCGAGACCTGAGTTCTGCGCAACGGGTGGAGCTCCCGTTACTTACTCCAGCTCCCGCCCGCCGAGCAGTTTGAAAGCATGCAAATGCAAGTAGATTAATAGGTACCACTTCGGTGGGAAGATAACAGTGTTCCGTGTGCCTCAGTGTATAGGCATGCTGGCCACATGGCCACAGAAAGTGGCTTCAGACAATGTTGGTTCCCTCAGCTACGAAATGGAGAGGAGTGCCACCTCCTAGAGTCATGATGGCAAACCCATGGCATGCGTGCCAGAAGTGGCACACAGAGGCCTCTCTATGGGCACGCGAGCCGTCGCCCCCACTCAGCTCCACTGTGCATGTGCACGCGCCTCCCGCTGGCCAGCTGATTTTCAGACCTGCTGTGCATGCGGGAGACATGTCTGCCTGCATGGGGGGCGGGGGATGGCAAGGGCCCCCCAGCCGCAGATTTTTGCTCCAAGGAGGCTGCAGGGAGGCGTACTAGGCCCAAAATGAGGTTCAGGGGGTCACGTGCACATGGGGGGCAGGGAAGCGCAGGGGGGGTTACGTGTGCATGCGCACGGATGAGGGGAGTGCGGGGGAGTGTGTGCCTGTGCAGGGATTGGGGGTGGGGTGTATACACGAATTACATCTTTAAATGCAGGTGTGCCCACACTTTCGGCACACGACAACAAAAAGATTTGCGATCACTACCCTAGAGTTAGAAATGACTGGATGGGAAACCTTTTACTTTTAAATGCAAGATGGTGGCTGTTTATCATGATGGCTAGACATTCTGTCATCCAAGTGCAACAAAATGGTTGGATTCCTTATGCTTCGCCAATAAGGTTTGGAGCACACATTATTTAACCAGGTTTTCTGGCTTAATATGTACACAATTAGAGCCAACACAACTCACCTGTGTGCACCTCCCTCCCTGCCTGACATTTAATACACAATCATTAATATTACATTCCGTTTTAAGGATGCTAAAACATGTCGTTCATTTATTCAAGACAAAGCAAAGAGAAAAGTGAATTTACAAGAACTCCACCTCTGTCCCCAATTGCTCCTTGAGCCAAGGGAGAATTTTGAAGATGTTGATGTGGAAATCTCTGACGTGGGGAA